CCGAATAAAAATAATTTTTTCGGGTAATGTGTTCAATGTTTAAAAATCTTGCGGCACCAACTATTAAAAGAAAACAAGTAAATGTAAAACAATAAGCTTAACAATTTTGTCATTTGTGTAAGATATATGACTTAATATATTGATTCAAATCAAGTTTTAAATGAAAACATACTGATGAATACTATAAACTTTTAACAACACTAACGATTTATTCGCGTAGAATTTCAATTATACTCAAGTTTTTGTTTATTCGTTTATAAAAGCATACAAAATATGTGTATGTACATATGTATGTATAATTGTGTATTTTCACCTTCACAAATCGCACCAGCTGGAAAGTTTTTTGTGTACCTATTTGACAATACTAGAGGGATTTGCCAAACCTTTCTGTTGTTTTGCATCCACGGCAGCGCTACACAAACTATTTGAATATTACACTCCTTTCTGTTTATTAAGCACGGTTCAAAAAACTTCATTTGTTTTTATTTAAGCATTTTTCGTAATATTATATTTTTTTATGACATTTTTCATCTCGAACAATTTTCCAAATATGCAAAGAGGTTGACATACCAACACTTGAATCAGAGAACGTACGTTCTCTGCTTGAATTAAATACTGAGTGCTGCCATGTATTTCCTTTGTTAAAATTTGTGATGATTGAATATGTCGCAAAGTCGTTGAATTTTTATTTAACTGTTATTTTTATTTAAATTGGCTTTATATAAATAATTAATAATCGATTTCAATACTTTTTAAAAGTCTTTTGGGAAAAAAATAAAATAAGAGGCAATGGCGATTGGCTTTTTAAAAAATTATTTTAGTAAACGGTGGCACTTATGTTTTCAGTTTTTCAGCTGGCTGCCTTCAATTTTCGCACCTGCTACAGAGAACGTATATAATTTACGATTTAGATTTAAGCAACGGTTCATAAAAATTTGCATCATCCTGTTCTCTGTATGACATTTCCTTTTGGCAGTTGGCGCATCGTCCTTCCGGAATTTCAATGTTAAATGCTTCTTTTAATTCAAATTGTGAAAAATCGCAGCGTCTTCTATTTATAAGTGGAAATTACAAAATATAGAATGATATAGAATAATAGTTGGTATTTATGTAAAAAATGAATAATGAAACCAGTGTAATAGGTGTATGTAATGAGCTTACCGTGGCTAACCTAGAAACAATGGCAAAAGTGAGAATAGCAGAATTTGTCGTTTTCATCATATTTATATGCCTTCCTGTGACATTTATGGGATATTTGGTAAGTATTTTCACATGTCTATATGCGTAACGCACAAAATATTGCAAAAGTTTTTAAGAAACCTAAGTTAGTTTCATTCGTTTTAACAAAATTAACTGTGGACTCAATTTCATTTCGGGTCGCCTCGCGCAGATCTTGAGCAGCTTAGCGCATATTTAATAATACTGCATTGATTATGTGTACCCAGTTGTTTAAGTATTTTATTTTTAAATAATATTGTGTATACATATATTCCAATTTCTTGTAGAAATGAATGAAAAACTCATCTGCTATCGTATGGATGCATGGAAATGTTTGGAAGAGTTTAGATCGAGGTTGCAAATAATGCATTAAAAAGTAATGTTTAATATTATTTTTTATTTTTTACTTTCTAATAGGAAAAATCTTAAGTAAAAATAATTTTAAAATTTTTAAACCCAAATATCTGATTGAAAAAAAAACCATATACATATGTAATTCCAAGCATTATTAAAATTTAAAGCAATTATTGTAGCACTCACTAAACTTGCACCTTTAAACAATTTATAATTTATCAATTTATATTTCTGATTTGGATTTAAAAATTGAATTTGCAATTTTACTTTTAAATTAAAAATTAAAGTTTTAAATATACAAAGCCCAACATTTAGATTTAATTATAAATCCCATTTTTAATCCAAGGAATGCCAATTTTCTAGTTTCTAAATATTTAGTTCCAAATCAAAAATTGAAACAATAATATTAAACCAAGATGTTGGATTTAAAAAACTCTAATTTTTAACCCAATTTTTTTAAATAAAAAATTCGTAAGCCTGATTAAAACTAATTAATACAAAAATTTTTACATCCAGTGTTGAGAAATTTGAGGTCTTCTTGTTAAAGCTTACTCGCGTAGTTTTCCAAAAATCACTAAGAAAAAAAAATATACACATTTTATATTTTTAATTTTATTTATTATTTGTTTTTGTAGTTTTTATTTATCATTAGTTTATCTTACGTCTATATCTTTTTGTTTATTAATTTACTTTACATGTACGTTAGCTAGCTTCTTCACATTAAGCTAATTTATTGTGTGTACGTGTGTGTGAGTGTGTTAATTAAGTATAACTACATACATAATTGTATGTTAAATATCATCTTTTATAGTAATTATAATAATAATATTTAAAATGTTTCACAGACACAAAATGATTAGGACATATTCGTTTCAGAGATTTCCTTCTCAATACATTTCACTCGCATATATTTACAAATACTTCGCAATAATTCACATATACGTATATAATATTAAAATAACATTGAAAGCATTGAATACATACAATACATATGTACAATATATTATATATGTATATGTATGTAGTTGCGGTAATTCTTGTTGCGTGGCATTAAATAAAATACTCGCTAAACTTATATTTCTTAACCGCTCCATCAACATATGGTACACATACAACACAACACATTAAAATGCACTTAGGACTAACAAGTACATATGTATGTACATTATGTACGCTTTGCTGTACTTAAGTTTACGCTATTAATGCATTACATAATTTATTTTCACATAGTTAATTGTAATTGACACAAAGATTCATAAGTCAGAATGATTTCATTTTATGCTATTTTTCCTGTTGTTTAACAAAAATTAATTATCTAAGTTTGGAAAATAATTTGCTTTTACTTTAATGCGCTTTTCATGAATTTCTAAGAGAAAATAGTTTGAAACTTCAAAAAAGGAATAAATGTTAAATGTTTGTTTGTCTGTAATTGCATTTGCATACGCCTATGTGTATGTGCTTGTGTTTACTTGAGTATTTTAAATATATATTTATATATATACATATTTATATGTATATATATGTATGCATGTTTTAAGTATATTTACTTATAAAATAATGTCTAAACCTAATTATTACAAGTCATTTTTTGCTTTGCTCTTAATCAATAATAATATTCACTGGAGTGCAAATATAAATTACAATCACAAAAATATTTATATTTAATTTATAAGTTGATTTCTGCTTATTTTGCTTGCTGTTTTTTTTTTTTTTTTTTTTTTTTTTTTTTTTTTTTTTTTTTTTTTTTTTTTTTAATGATTTTTTTTTTTTTTTTTTTTTTTTTTTTTTTTTTTTTTTTTTTTTTGTTATGCTCGTAGTAATTAATGAAGACATTATCGACGGACAAGTGTGTTTGCGTTTTTTCGCTAATAGCAAGTGAGTGCATTGGGGCTGCCAACGGTCAGGTCAGTCTGCTTGAGTTGAGAGGGGAAAGCATTTTCATAACTTTTCAAACATATTTACATTTATTAAATAAAGCTGCGTGGGATTTCTAATTAGACTTAAAATATAAATAAAAATCCGTTAGAGTTTCAGTTAGAAAGCGGGAATAAAAAAAGTTATAAATAAAAACACTCGGAGAGAGTGCCATTTTTTAGAGTAAATTTGCTAGAGTGACGTCATTTGAGGTTTTTTTATGATTAGTTGAATATTTCGAGATTGTATGAGGTTATACAGAAGAAAGCCTAAAAAATAAGTGAAGCTGGTTGGAAGTTTTGAAAACAACACAGTTAGAAGAAGGCTCCTGATGAAATTGTAATTTAAATTTCTTACTAATAGTAGGATAAAAAACTACGAAGAAGAGTTGGAGTAGAATAAGTAAATATTTAAAACCCCTTAAAAAAGTTATATTCAACAATTTTTTATACGTTTTCTACGTTTCAATTGGATAAAGGGATTATATACAGTTAGAATTTTCAAAAAATCCATTCTATTTATTTTGTTTTCTTGATGTACATATTTTTAAGAATACACACAGAACTTTTCATATTGTTTCGGTGAATATTTTTAAAGTTAAAGGTAAATTTGAAAAGGCGTTTCAGAGTACTTGGAAGTACAAGACCAAAATTTAAACTTGTTTTTCTCAAAATAAGTCGATTAGTCTGAAATTTTAGTACAAGCTTCTTAAATATATTTTATAGTAATTAATTGAAGATTTTTTTCCATCGATAAATCTTTGATGTAAACAATTTAAGGCCGAAATTTCGGTCAGAAATAGATTTTTTAAAAACTGCCATTTTGTCAAAAAAAATTATTTTGCTTATTCCTTCAATATGCTTTACTAGATTTAAAATTAGTTTTTAGTTTTTTAATTTCAGAGTATCCAATTCAGAGATATAGTGGTCACTGCAAAACGTCTGTTTTGAGAGGAGTTCCGGAGATCAGCTGTAGTTCCTTTCAAAACAAATATTTTAACTAACACTAAGTCTTAAAATATAGTTAAAATATACCATAAAATGTGTACAAACTTTTGGATCAATAGATTTAAAAGTTTTCCTTGAAACAATTCTGGAAAATTCGCTTTTTCGGCGTTTAACTGTATATAACCCCTCAAAAGTTTTCCATAAACTTGAAAAAATAAAATAAAATAAATCAGAGTAGAATTCAAAAGTTAAAAAAATTTGTGTACACTATTTTTCGACATAATTCAGATTTATTTTGAAAAAAGTGATATCAAATGTTCGAGACTTTTTGTTATCGTTCGATAAACTTGTAAAAAAAAATAAATCGGAATGGATTTTCGAAATAAAAATATTATAGAAGCAAGTATAATCAAAAAAAGTGAAATCAAAATTCTTAGAGTTTTTGGTAACGTTCAAATGGGGAAAAATCACTATAGTACAAACAACCGCTTTCGATAATTTTTATTTAGATGTTATCGATAATTTATATTTAGATTTTTTAAATAAGTATTTAGTGTAAAACCCATAATAAAATTGTGATCAAACGATTTTTTTCCGATATTACAAATTTTGTTGTCGAAAATGATTTTTGAAATACTTGAGGTAATATTCAGATTTGATCGTATTGAGCGAACTTTTTTCTCCAATATTTAAATTATATAATTGAAACTAAGTTTTTCATATTTAAGACTTTTAAATGAAAAATGTTTATGCGTAGAATTAAAAGTTAGAAATTAAAAGGTATCGCTAAAATATTATGAAAAAATAATTTTTAAAGAGAATTGTTAAAAGGTGCTAAGTGGATAATATGGCTTTATTAGAGCGGATCAGAACGAAATCAAAGTTGCTCCTTTCCTGACACAATATTAAATCGATATTTTTTTTAGAAAAATAATTTATCGATTACACTTTGTTATCACTTGCAAAAGAAGCAAAAACAATTAAGAAACAATAATAATTTATATGTACGGGAAGCTACTTACAGTCGGTAAACAATGTGCTGAGTTTTTCTACATACATACATACATCCATTGACCGTTAATCACTATTAAATACCGTTGAATTGCTTTGCGTAAAGCACTTTCGACCAGCTTCCTACAGTACTCAAGCGCACATCTATTGCTTATAACTATTAACCCTTAACTAACTATATTCTCCACATCGGACAACAATACCTCCAAGTCGGATGGCAGTTCGTGCTCCCCTTCCATACGCCCCTGACCAATGTGGCTGGACGCCGTCGCCACAGACGGCAACGGCGGCGGATGATAGCTATGTTGCAGCTGTCTAATAGAATTGGAACGCTTTTGTTGCTGTTGTTGCAATTGTTGTTCCGTAGGGGCGGTGGCATTAGAATTGGCAGTGATGGCTAGTGATGGTGCTGTGGTGGAATGTGCGTTGCTACGACTACGTCGATGCTCATGGCGTAACGGTGCATGGTGGCTACTGTGGCTGGGATGGCTTGCATGACTACCTTGACTGCTGTGACTGGACTGACTACCTGCGACGACTAGTTGATCACCATCGGCTATCCGGTTGAAATTGCCCAAACCGCCATTGGTGTTGGCGGCGCTCGCATTTACGTTACTGCTGGCAGCGGCGCTCAGACTGACACGTGGTATGTTGCTGAAGCTGGTGCGCGCAGCCGGTAGAACCGCTGAGAAAGCATGGCCAGCCGAGCTCTGGCTTGCGGACTTTGGTTGGTGTTGGTTGGCGGTGCTGCTGGAGCTGCGTCGCAGCTGACGTTCCGTAGGCGCGGGCGTAACTATGGTGGCAGCAGCATTGCTGGCGTGTGTGGAAGTGGTTGTGTTGGTGGTTGCGGTGGCAATGGAGTTTTGTGGATCATTCGTGTAGATACTGGGCTGATATGTGGTGGCCGCGTTATTACTACGTAAATTCATATTAGAATTACTGCGCCGCGCCGCAATAGGCGGATCCTTACCATTTTTGGCGGCGCTATTAAGTTTCAGATTCAGACTGCTGCGTTTCTTTGATTTGGCTAGATGATTTTGATTTTGCGCCATTTGGCCAAGATTTTGTGTGCTACCGAAGTTGCGGCCCAAATTGGCTGTATTCGCCGCAGGCTGATGCGCGGTACTGCTTTCGCTCAGCTTGCGCGCATGGAGTGCATTTTGATTGGCGGTAAATGGATTATTGGCTGAAAACGAATTGGAGCGACTGTAGTTGTGTGCGCGTTGCTTTTGCAGTGCACCACCGATGGCGTGCGCATCGGACGTCAGCTTGCCGCTATTCGAACTAGCAGTCTTACTGGAAACACTTGCGCTTGCCGAGTTCGCCGCGACGCTGTTGCTTGCTGCCGCTTCATTGTTGGCAGGCATGGCAACGCGCATTTCGCCCGTGGCTGTGCTGCACAGCAGATTCTCGTAGAATGGATTCTCCATTTTGGAGGGCATGGTTTTCGGATTGAGCGTCTCATAGGTCGGTTCGTTTAAGGTTAGTATTTGATTGTCTTCGTTATTGTTACGGAGTAGTAGCGCAATGCGTTTGCATTTAACCTCGTCATTGCCACCGCTGCCAGAGTTCTTGCTACCCTCGCTATTTTGATTGCTGCTCTTGCGTTTGCTCTCGGCGCCGTTCGTACGTGTCGTCCGCTTAAGTTTGTTCGCTGCACCGCCAATTACATGCGTCTTCACCTTGGCATTCTTGGAGAGACGCAGCGCGAACTTAAATGGCGGCTTATACACCACTTGCAGTTTCACTTTGTCATTGACCAGATTCGTCACCGACTTGGACTTCTGCGGTGACTTTTGTACCAGACGTTCGGGTGTGGACTGTGATTTGCTCATCACTTTTCGTATTTTCGAAGAGTGTTCGATATGGGAAAGCGGTTGTACGACAATCGGCGACTCCAGCAGCCATTTCTGCACTTTGCCGAAGGTGTTGGTGTGCCCACTACCGCTAATGCTCGCCGCGTCCGGTCCACCGCGCGATGAATAATCAATGATTTCCTTGTTGTGCTTCTTAAAGCGCTTACTCTTTGCTTTCACTTCGTTCTCCAACTTAGCGCTGCTTCCTGCGGCCGCAAGTGGCGTGTTTAATGCTGCCGCAACTGGTGTGGACTTCAACGCAGCCGCGCCACCACCACTACCAACGCGATTTTTCTTGGTGCGCGTTGGCTTTACCACTACTTCTCCACTAGCACCGCCAGCTGCTGTTGCTGCTGCTGCTGCTGTATTGCTTGGTTTTCCACTACGGTTATGTGCGTACGTTGATTTCGCCGCTAACTCGGTTGCTTTGGAGGACGTCGCTTTGCCGCCGCTGCCGCTGCCTTTAGTTTTGCCAGCGCCTATATTGCCACTACTGCCGCTTCTGTGCGTGCTCTTACTTTTGTTGCTGCGCTCGCCGCGCACCTTTTTCTTGAACGGTACTTTTGTACGGACGGCCGTGTGCACGATGACGCCGTTGTTGTCGTCGGGTAGACGCACCGTTTCGGTGGTGGCGCTGTGTATGATGGTCACCGATTTTAGTTTCAGATTCGAGCGCTTCGCCAGCAGCTTCGTGCTGAGTATCTGTTTTGAGGGTGAATGAAAAAAATGAAAAAATTCCATAAATATGTTTGTAGTTTGTTCTCTAGGGAGTTTAATGCAATAAATATCTAGCTTACTTGATGATCTCTTACAAGATTTGTACATATTATAGTTTATTATGTAGAACATGTTTATAAATTTTGAAATAATAAAGATAGTAAATGTAATGTTAAATAAGTTAATTAAACACTGAAAAAGTGGTAGTTTTTACGTATTCCCAACGTTATATCCAACGTTATAGCCATCTATTCACATACCATGGGCACTTAGTTGCGCACTTAATAACAATGTTGATAAGGAAAACTGTAATGTCTTGTATATACGAGTATATTGTCTCTCGAATCAATAATCTAATGTACCTTAAAGAGCTACATGGTTTTACGGGTTTCAAAAAAATCTAATTTTTTTATTGTCTTATTAAATTCTACAATATCTCCAGCTGAAATTTTACACAGGTCTTTGAGATACAATTCTTACATAAAGACTTGGACGAAGTATGTTTTTTCGATTACAACTATTTAAAAAAAAAATGGCGCGAAATTTTCGCAAAAATTTCTTTTTTTTTATAAAAATGTCTGCCAAAAATCCAATTTTCAGTTGTTTTGTGTTTCGACAAAGTTCTATGTTAAGGTTTTTCACATTACATTGATCCTGTAAGGGGGGCGAGGGGGTCTGGTCACTGGAAATGGCGTCGCAATAGTCGAGTTCAAAATATTTGTTTCCAAAAATTTTAAAATTTCTTTGTTAATAGTGTATGTTTGTAACAATAAAAAATTCGAATAAAATATTTCATTTTATATATGTGAAAAAAGTTAATAAAAAAGGTTGTTTTTGACACGAGCAAACCCATGTAACCCCTTATGTCCCATCTTATAAATTTTTACCCGTGCTGATCCAATAAAACTAGGCTCACAAACTGTATCAATAAAAAAATTGTTTTCTAGATTTGGTCAACCTTTTTTGATGTTCGTGTAAAATTTGATCTTCATACTTTAATTGGTGTGTAATGTAACGAGGCGAAAAATTTGTTTGTCGAATTTTTGAAATAAAATTGAACAACAAAGTTACGAGAATCGTTGAAAATGTTACAGAAGAGTGGCGAACACAAATATTTGAGTGGCACTATTCAATCAGACAACGTCATAACGTTAAGGAAAATTTTACTCATGCGACTCGTTGTCCATCAACCTCTATTAATAATGATAATATCGAAAAATTGGGGTAGTGCTTAAAAATCGACCTGTGGGCTTAAGAGCCAGAGGATCTTAATAACTGTTGGATCGACTCAACACATTTTGGTTAACGTTTTGGGAATGCAGTGCCTCAATGCCACACTCGTTCCAAAAGACCTTATTCATTTGCAAAAGCAACAGCGAGAAAAGGTCACAAAAAAAGAAACTTGACAGCCTGGTTCTCAGCTACGTTTATCAGATGTACCAGTATGAGGCGTGGGTTTATGAATATGACGTCGACTTGTTGAGTATCCTACAATCTGAGAATGGCGCTCCAAAAATGTGTCGAAACCGCAAAACCCAAAACTTTGCTGGCTTCGGCACTGAAGGTCTTCTTAGCCGGATGCTTGTAACAAGCGTATGAAAAATTGGATTAACGGTTGACAGGCTTGTATTGGCTCAAGAGGCTATTTTAAGGGCGATCATAAAAAATTTGTTTTAAAATAAGAGATTGCTTTTTGTTAGTCCGGGTCAATTTTGATCGGATGCTATTAGGTTATATGTACACCACTTTTTAGAAGGTTAAAGCCATTCGTTAGAAAATATTATCATTTCTACCATAATCGATAGATTCGATCGTCAAACGATGGGGTTATATTACTATCAGTCGCCCACTTTCAATACTATAAATGATTTATGTAAACTTTGTCGCTTGAAAATTCTTAAAATATTGGGTATTCGAAAATGGAACTTTAAAAAATTTATATAAAATTTAAGGTCGTGAGAATTTCGTGGGATTGTTGAAGAAGAAGAAATCTATATTATTAAAAAAATTTATTTTGAAATTCATTACTTCTAGAAAGTGGTACAAAAAGTGTAAAATTTTGAAAAAGTTCGTTATTTTGAAAACCTCTCCGTTTGAAACTATCTCGCCAATCATTAAAACTTTGTAAACCACTTTTGAAAAATTGTAAAATTATGCCGAGGAAAAAGTTTTTTGAATGTTCGCATTTAATTTGGGATTGCATAAATGTACATGAGCATTGAAGTCATCTATGATCAGCAGAAAATATATATGAAATGATTGATTTAGTTACTATTTCTACAAATGCTCAATATATGACAAAACCGTTTTATTCTCAAAAAATGCACAGATAGATTTGTTTGTTGATCTAGCGATACAGCTTTCGATTATATAAGTACAGGCACTTACTATTCTCGCGTAATTGCATTGCAATCTTCTCTTCATACTCATCATTAAGCATTTTTGTTGCAACCTTCATGATCTTCGAAGATTGAAAAACAAATAATATTTTAATGTCAAACATTTTAGTACAAATCAAACTAAAATTTAAACAAAAAAAAAAAAAAATCGAAAATAATTTAAGAAAATATGAAATAATTTTGTATGGATTGATATTATATAATAATAGGAATATATCGTCACCTAAAATCCAAACTAATTTAACATCACATTTCATAAGTTTACGGGCGAAGGAAAATCGATATAATAAAATATTATATATTTAAACATTTTCACTTAAGTCAGTTGCGAATTGAACGTACTTTTATATATTATATTCTTTACGTGTGTGTTTCGTCGTTTATACTTAATTATGTGCTTTTATTAAGTCTGCTCAACTTACCAGCAACACGAATACGCCCAATGCCGCCAACACAACTGTGTACCAATTATGCTGTACCCATTTCTTAAATGTGGCAATGCTCTCCTCCGACAACAGTAATTTGCGTAGCGTAGCTAACGGTCCCGACGGATCAACTTCGCGACATTTTTGGAATACGTCACAATAGCTGGGAGAATAAAAAATGAAACAAGAGTAACAAAAAACAAACGTTCAATACACTCCCATATACATATCGAAACAGCACCGAAGCACACGTGGCATGTGGCATGTGCGCAACACTCACCCATTGTAATCGTTGCACGGCGTGCCCGGCTTTGCGTACATATCCGGCACATCAAATGGCGGCTCATTCCATTCAAACGAACTGCGACAGGCATTGCCCTCTCCGGGCAATTTACAACATAATTCGCACGATTTAATTTTGTCATCAGTCGGTCCCGGTATGCATTGGCATGACTCGAGGCCGTAGGCCAAACAAATACTACCCGTACACTCACCCATGTAACACACGAATTCTTTGTTACATATCGTCTTATTCGGTTTGTTCACCGATGGCGGACACTCCGGTCCGAGACCGTTACAGAAGCTCGGATCGCGACAGCCGTTGTCATCGCGACACTTATCGCCGAATTTCAATTTACAATCACCCGTACAGCATGGTCCCTGCGATGGACTGCACATGGCACGCGGCGTCAAAGTGCATGGTTTTTCGTCGATGCGCGGATGACGTGACATCGGGAAACAACATGTATCCTTGCAGTCCTCCTCCCAACCGCAGTCGCACTGTTCGTCACCCTCGACCACGCCGTTGCCGCAAATGGACGCCTGCGGTTCGGTGAAACAGCCTTTGGCGCTACGTGCTTTCGCATTTAGTACGGGTTCGATGGATTTTAGTGAACATGGTGAGAATTTGTTGTTGTTCTTTTTATCACCGGACGTGGCGCGCGCAAACATTATGAAATTACCATCCTCACCGCCGGGTGTGCACTGTTCCGGATCGTGCTGGTCAGCGAGCAAGTAGACAAAAGCATGAAAAGTGTGTAGGTCATAAAGGAAATTAGTTAAAGTGGAGCGAACAAAGAAACTATATATTATGGTGGTATAATTTTTTGGGTTTGCGAATTTTAAATAAATTTAAAAATGTATTCTTATGAAAATTTTAAAAGTAATTTTTATAACTAATTAACTTCAAAGTACTGCACTTACAGGTGATCCAAAATTATGTCCGATTTCATGTGCTAATGTCACATGCGATACGGCTGGAGGAACATGTTTACCGTAATTTAGTAGCGTGACAATGCCTGTGTTCAGCGACTTCAAAGAACCACGATAGTGCTGGAAAACAAAGCCAGTTTTATCATCTTTTCATCGAAAAGTAAAGTTTTGCTTATAGTGAAATTTTAAATTTGCTTTCTCAACATATAAAAATTATAAAATTGTCTAAAAAAAATATATTTTAACTTACCCCATTCTTCTCACACACGCCGCCGGCATTTTTGAGGTCACCAGTCCATGCCAAACCCAGAGTTCCCATCTCAAAGTCTCGATATGTAAACATGTAGGCCAGGCAAAAGGCGTCATAATCTTCCTCTAAATTAGTGAAAATAAAACAAATCGATATATAAAATATATAGAGGTTAAGTTTGTCAATAAAATCTTAAATTTCGTAATGTTTTAAGAATCATAACTATATTTAAAGTTGTTTGATGGAATTGTAACCTTATCGAATAAGATGACACGATTCCTTTGCGTATAAAATTTAGTACGTATATGTTAGTATTTTAGTAGTTTTCAGATCGGTTCTCAGGATATAAGCAGTTTTTGGGAACAAGTTACAATTTTTAAAGAAGTCAAAGGAAAAGTACTACAATATAGGAAATAGGATAGAGCGGATCCAGGTCATTATTACTTGTGAATTTGAAAAAAATCGAGTTTTTTTCCTATATATCAACTAAAAATTTATTTGAAAATATTCACCGAAAATTTGAAGTTGAACCGATATATATACATACATATATAGTTACGAAAATATAATCGTATTTGTAAGAATTTTTTTTTAGCTTAGTGTTAAAACTTTAGGCCGTGAAGAAAATTTCTCTGAAACGGTTAGATTTCGACATCCCTAGTTTTGACTAGTCCTCCGCTCATTACCTGTAATAATCTATTGTAATAATATTTTTTTCCAACTACCAATAAAAGTAATATTGAAAATATTACAGAACGTATTAAAAAGTGTTTCTTAAAGTATTTGTGAAGCCTGTATGGATTCATACATATGTATTTTTAAAATGTTTTGGAGTAGAGTTATCACTTATTCACAAAAGTAAAACAGAAAATCTTACAAAATGTATACCAAGCAAAATAAATATGGAATGCTCTCTGAAAAAATTTCAGAAATTTGATGATCAAGACCGGCACGTTACTTTGAATGGGAATCGCTACCGCACAATGATAGCCGAATAATTTCGGTCCGAATAGGATGATAAGAACTTGGAAAATTTGTGGTTCCAACAGGACGGCACCACAAGCGACACTGTGAATGTCACAACCGATTTATTGAAAACCAAGTTTGGTGAGCGTGTTGACTGGGCAATTGGCCGCCTCGGTCGGGCGATTTGACGCCGTTAGACTATTTCCTGTGGGGCAACGTCAAGTCGTCTATGTCAACAAGCCAGCAGCGATTGATGAACTTCGTATCGAATGTGAAATTGCGGAAGTATCGGGCGATTTAAGCTTGAAAACCGTCGTAAATTGGGTCTACTTCTGCAAGCGTGTCCGTGGTGGCCATCATATTGAATTTCATACACAATGACATCGAATGTACTTTCACAAGAATAAAGAATTTCATTGATATCCCTATCCATTTTTGTTTTATTAAAAAAAAACTTTTGTGGCATTCTTATTGAAAAACCCATTAGTATGGATATTTTTAGATTTCTACATATAATATTTTGAGTGGTGTTGCCATTATAAAAAAATTGCACGGAATTATGTATTATAAATTTTGTATGAATCGATTGGTATTCCAAAGTTTCGTTTTTTGTTATTTATATTTCTAATCTTACGGCTATAGTAATTAATAAATAATAATAATAGTAATAATAATAATAATAATAACCCAACGATTACCCTATGTAAGTAATATATGTGAACTTAAAATTGGATCATAGGAAAGACTTATTTTTATATTATCTAAAATATTGTACCATAACAAACACTAATTTTCTATATGGAATACCTGAAAAGAGTTCCAGAAACTTTTCCACACCGTAATTGCCCGGAAATCGATAGCTCGGATCCCTGACCGCGTTCATATTATGCACCTTGATGCGCTTGATCATGAATGTTATATTGTCTGGCTTGCCGTCGTTGTTGAAATCTTCGAAATTTATTAAAAGAAATGGAAGAAAATCAATTATTTATATACGCACATAAAAAACTGCTCCTTTGGCGCGCGCACAAACTCACCCGTATTTTTGTAGATCGAATTGGCGCGCTGCACATGACGCGTGATCGCCTCAATGCTGGCCTCGTCGGAACCCATCTTCTGAAAGAATGTGTGATCGGCTTGCAGATATAGCATGCACGTGATCTTGCGGTCATACATCGACTGTGCGCTATCCTTCGAATTTGTCTCGTACGCAGCATCACGGCCACGCCCACTTAGCAAATTCGTCATCAACATGCTATTGAAGTGTGGATTTTGTGGATTTGGCACTAGCATAATATCCGGATTATAATTATTCACGATGATGTTCGGCTTTTTGGTGGCGCCATTTTTTGTTATGATTTCGACGTGTGTCTTGTGACTGGGACGATCGTTGTTGTTGTTGGTGAACATGGTGGACCAATTCGTTTGAAAGAAATTGTTCGTGTCGAAGCGATTGTTATTGTTATTGTTGTTGTCATTGTAGTTATAATTGACGCCATTATTGCTGTTTGCATTGTTGTTGTTGTGGTTGCCACCGCCGTTGATGACAAAATCATAGGGATACGAACGATTATTGCTGTTGTTGCTGCTGCTATTATTATTATTATTGTTGTTGTTGTTGTTTTTATTGCTGTAAGTGCTAACGATGATATTCTTGTGCTTGGCATAGGTTTTGCGTAAGCCATTGTTATTGTTGTTGTTATTGTTATTATTGTTGTTGTAGTTCGTGTTGCTATTGCTATAACTATTGCCAGGATTGTAATTGTTCACAAGGATGTTGCGATTCTGCGCACCACCACCATGCGTGGACGCATTCGCAACAATGAGGGACGGAACATAAGTGTTGCCACTTCTCGTATTGCTGTTGCTATTGTTATCACTGTTGGCACTATTTACATTTCGCAGCAGGTCGCCGTATCTGTCGGTTGTTTCCCTATCAACAGCGGCTGCATTACGCCACGTTGTTGTTGTTGTCGTCGTCGCTGATTGCTGATATCTATTTCGTTGCTGTTCCCTATTATAGTTATACTCATGTTTATTGTTATTGTTGTTAGTCACACTTTTCGTTGTAGTGATCTCTTCACGATCTCGATCTCGATCCCGATCTGCATCTCGTTCCCGTTCGCGGTTCTTCCCACGCTCTTGCTCTCGAAAGCGACCACGACTGCCTCCACCCGCAAAAATGCTGAAGTCGTCGTTGTAGGGCACGTCCAAGTCCAATGGCAGCGGCGGATTTTGATGGTCATCGCTAGATGTAGCCAACTGCGTGCAGAGAAAAGATAAAATAATGGAAGCGTATAAAATGAAATGTGTGCAATCGATGAATGTCAATAGCATGTCAGTTGGGTCGTCGTCAAAAATGCCACGTCAATTGTGCGCAATTATGCTGCATTGTTCTTTGTGTTGTTGCTAAGTAAGTGAGTATTCGGGTAATTGGTTTTACTCTTTAAATTACATACCTCATCCGGCAGCCAACGCTTGTGACGCTCTAGCGACTTTGACGCTTCCGCTTCGTTGGTGACCGCTTTCCGTCGCTTCAGATCGTTCAGTAGCATGTCGCGTCGCAGTCGTTCACTAGCGCAGTGCTCGGCTGCGGCCGACTTGCGCATTTGCACATCACTGACTTTGTAAATGACACTGTGCACACCCGATGCGGGCAACTCGCTTGAATAGCGTTGCGCTGGCTCCACATAGTAGTGTTCACCGACCGTTTCGATGGTGCCATCGAGCAGATTGTCGCTGGTGAGAATGGCATGTACATGCGAGTTCTCATCACCTGAAATGCAAACAACACACATACATACATATAAGTAACTATTTATTATAATTGATATATGTGGCTACTAATCAAGTTAGGTTTTATGAAATAATGGGGCTCAGCATGTTTTATAGGCATAAATAACTGGAGTTGTAGTTATAATTATTATATAGTTTTAACACTCATGATCTCACTTAAGTGGTTGTTGGAGGTACAAATGCATCACTTCAAAGTATTGCTCAACTGAAGTTTTGTACAATATTGTCTTCAAAAGATTGAAAAAGTCTGGTCTATTGATAAAGGACAATGACTGCAAATAATTCCACAAGAAGTAGTCGAATGGTGTTAAATAACAATTTCTTTGACGCCATTCAATGTCAAATTGATGAATCTATCAGACCAAAAGCTACACCGAACTGTCAATTTAGGCGAATGTAATGGTTTTTCATAAATAATTTGTAGATTTTTTTCGCATTAGAATGGACAGTTTTGTTTATTTGCCGCATTACTCATTGGAGAAAAAATCGTTTTTTCAAGTTGTTTCGAGGCAAATTCAACAAACTCACGGCATTTACGGTAGTCTAATGGCTGCAGTTCTCGAGTGAGAATAATTTTATACGCATGCTAGCACAACTCCTTTCTCAAAATCTGCCAGGTTGTGGTTTGTAAACATTACTCAGTAAAATTAAAAAAAAAAAATATTACAAAATCATGATATATTATCCCTGTTGGAAAATCCGATATTTACTGTCAATTTGTGGATTTCATTCTAAAAGAACAGCGTCGGATTGGTGGCCAGGAATGAAGTAAATAAATCTTTGACACCTTGTTTTGTTAGGATTCGCTTTCCAGTGAAAGTGCTCTGCATCGACTGGAATAAATGCTAATCAGAAGAGACAAGGTCTGTAGTATAAGGCAGATGAAACTTCTTAGCCGTTAACTTTCTGAACCACGAAATACCGAACATTACCCAGGCGTCATGGACATTCGGCTTTGACGTTAATCTGTGTGGTTGGCCAGGTTTCACATAGGATATTTTGCATTTAGAATCGTTGTAATAGATCCATTTTTTATCACCAAACACAATCCGATGCAAGAACGACTTATTTTTTTAGCTTTAAGCAACTTTACTTCCAGGTTTTCTTCTGACATACAAAACTATCTTTCAAGGTTTCTTCACTTCAATTCATATGACATTTCATTTCTTCACTGGCTCTTTTTAAACATTTTGAAAAATTTTTTTGAGCGCCAATGACGCTTTTCGTCTTAAATGTTGAAAACCACTTCTGCCGACAAAATACAGTTTTCTTTATATTTAAAGAAGGAAAACTTGTCGCAAAAAGACAAAGTTGAATATTTTGAGTGGAAAAAATTTGTTGTTTCGGAATATGTTGGAACAATTAAATAATAATCTAGCTACGATTATAAATAAATCATTTAATAATATATATCCTGTCTCTTATACACATCTAGATGTGTATAAGAGACATGTTATCGACTGTTCATTGAGGGACATAAAGAACGTAATGTGAAAGTTCTACATTTTTTTCCAGGCTTGATTTAAAAATACCAGACTAAAATTTTAAATTAATATTTAAAATATTTTTTGAGTAGCAGCTTTTTAAAGTGGTTACGTTCAGGCCAATCAGCCTACCTAAACTATAACTAAAAGCCAAATCATTCGATAGTTTTTATTTATTTTTATTTTTTTGTTTGTGTAAAAATGTAATTTTAGCCGACAAAAAATCATATCACCATTGAACAAAATTCTGCAATATCTTTCAAAAATTGCCACTTTTATTTTTTGTTAACAATCGTAGACCTGTTTTTAGTATTTTTTTCTGGTTGCTCGCTAAAAATAAAATACGATATTAAAAAATTCTCCAAAATTATGTTTTTTGGCGATCACACTAGGGACACACCTAAAAGAAATTCGATAATCGGTAACTCCACTGTTTCTGCTTCCATGCTCAAAGTTTTCTTCGTGCCTATTTTATACTTTTTCTTTTATTTCAGTTCTTATTATAATTCCTTTGAAATATTATACAAATCGATTTTTAAGAAATTTATTTTTGTTTTTTAAATAATTTTTCATATACTGTAATATTTGGCGATATATGTAGGTTAAGTTAGTGCGGTAGTAATGCCAAATTAACTTCGGAACTGCTTCGGCTTTTTTTAAACAAACATGGAATGGAACATGGGTCATCAAATATTAGAAACCTTCAGTAATCTGAACTGGCAAATGTTTTTCTTTTATCAATTGAATACTTCAAGCACAAATGGCAATTCAAACATTTCTGTTTCACAAATTCACAATAAATCTTCAATTAAAAATAACTAAAAAATATTTGCTTGAATCAATGCTAAATTGCCCGTGGTTATAAATCCTTTTAATGAATTTTGAAAGTTACACCACCAAAATGTATGAATTTACAACATAAGCGGAAGTATGCACACACACATGCATGCATATATAGGATTGTAAATGTGTGCGTACAATGAGAACATTGCCGAAAAGAAATAGCCAGAGTATGAGGATGAGATTGTGTCAAAAGTTTCCGAAAACAATAATGAATTTATTAAGAGCAACAAACATAAGTGAGTGTGTAACGGCACATCAATAACAAACACACCCAAGCAAACACTTGTAAGAAGTGCTTGTATGTGTATGCAAAGAGAATAGAAATAAGTTACAAAGATATGAAGAGGTACAAGTACTTTGGGAGAACTCCTGCTCACAAACTTACTTCCAAACTTTGTTGTTCTTTACTTTGTTCGGCTTTGTAATTTTATTTTTAATTTTTAGAATTTTTCTTTTTTTCTTCTTACCTCTTGATTTTTCATTCACGTTGCTTAAGACTTTGTACCTGCTTGCTTGTTCCCCTGCGTGCGCGTGTATGTGTGCGGCATAACTTTATGCGCCAGCTGCATAACCAAATAAATGAGGTAAACTGGAAGCGGAGAGGAATGCGAGTGTGGGGAATACTCCGAAAAAATTTTCCCAATTCCGATGGCAAGAAGCTTAAGAGCAAAAATTTTGCTATGACTAAATTATACAAAGAGTGCCTGTTGGCGTGAACCAGACTTGCGGACTCGTTGCTGTTACCTTGCTGGTCTGGGCTGTTGCGACTGCCGTTGCCGTTGCCGTTGCCGTCAGGAGAAATTGGCAAAAACAACTTCACAACAAATGCGTTGCGCCATAATAGCGTTGGTTCGGAGAATATAAAGTCGAAAAAAAATGAAGCTAGTTAGTTTGTGGGTACTCCATACTTACACAGCGACGGTGTATCTATGTGCATTAGGGTTATTAATAAGCTTGCTGTAAACATTTTGTTCAAGTGTTTCTTTCCAATATGTTTTGCAAATATACAATTCTTTATATCCTTTAAAAACGGATTTAAATGCCGAGCATTAGGGAATGAAAAAAATTTATAATGAAGAATTAGGTATGTCGGTAGACTGGCTGCCTCACGACCCATGCCAACGGGACTAAAATCCCTTCACTCTAATAGATCCTCTCTGAAGCATCACGTGCTTATGTTGAAGTTCATCCACGTCAAAAGATTTATCTGAGCAACTTCCAAGACGTCGTCAAGAAACCCTCGACCGATAGTTAAGAAGGATTCTTTTCCTATGTACAGCTCTAGAATCGCAAATAACTTGTTTGATATTCTACTCTTCTTCTACCCCCTAACATTTTCTAAAACGGTCGTTATAAGGCGTTTCTAGTCTACTGCTATGTCTGGCTGTTAGACAGTGCCCTGCTAGTATTCGTGCTACAGTTATTATATCATTCCTTTTAAATTTTAACATTAGGCATATTCGGGTGATATTCCATTCTTGCAACGTTTGCCCGCTTGTTATAACATCTTGGTCGATTAGATATCTGCAAGCAGCCAAAGGCTTAAAAATTGTCGAATTATAGGCTGTGACCTGTTTTGGCTAATTCAGCTGCCTTACAGTTCCCTGAGATATCACTATGTTCTGGGTTCAAATAGCGAGCTCACGATAAGTTAGGACATTGCACTACACTGATCTTGTAGACGGAAGGCGACTGTGGTATCTAGTTTAGCAGAGAAGGCACCACCTCTTCTCGGTTATCTAGTTTAGAGCCATCCGTATGAATGCGCGACCCTAACTCGAACTTTTTCCACTCTTCTATGGAAGAGAAGGTAATATTGGGTTGATTCAACTCTGTAGGATTTTGGAAATTTGTGGTAATGAAAATAAACGCGAAAGAAAAGATTCCGTCAGTCTAAGAGCTGACTTCGCTTGCATTTGCTTCCAGAACAAATCTGTTGGCGGTAAGTGTAAAAATATGTTAAGTGCCTGGCTTGGCATTGTTTTGAGAGCTTCTTTATTGGCGTAGACAACGCTAACGCGGTTATAGCTTACTTTTCATTGGGGTGTTGTTTTACGTGATGGATCCCAAACACAGCGCACAACGATAGGGGAGATATTTAGTCTAAGACCGAAAGTCGTGAACTGCAAAAGAATCGCTTCTGACCACTTCCACACTGAATAACTCTCAAAGAGCTTTCCTCTTTTGCGGGAACTTCTACACATGGCTGCATCTTTGTCAGAGAGTTCCACTGATTCAAATACTGGCAGTTCTTTGTATTTTTTTAAAATATATTTTAGAGAAGTTTTCAATTGACTATTATTTGATGCAATAAATTGCTTAAATTTTTTCGGTTATATTTTTCGAGAATGAACTTTTTCTAATGCAGTGATTATGAAAACAATTTTAAGACAACATGTTTATGTGATTGTGTCAGCTTATATGATTTATACCAGTGGTGTGTTCGATTGGCTACTCTGCAAGGCTTACCTAGTATACGAATTACTTTGAATTTCTAAATTTCTTTACTAAATTTCATTCAACGCAAGGAAGACTAGTAAAGTCAGTAAACCTTCAACCAAAGACCCAAGCACACCAACAAATATTTCAGGTCCAATACTTCTAAGCTCTTCGGTATATTGAGAACGCCCCTAATAATCGCGTATACCATGCA